ATAACACTTCCTCCTAAATGTTTGCCCTAAGGGAATGCAGGACCAGTGTTCCCAGATTTTTCAGTTTTCCAAGTGAAGTGAATAGTGCATATTTTTTTTTTAAATGTATGGAATCAAAATTTACAAGTTAGGAACTAATTCAATTTTAAAACAATGAGCCAGATAAAACATATCAACAGATTAGACTGGTCAAAGTTAGTAGCTTGTGTCCTCTGTTAGACACTGTCCCCAGAAAAGTGCACATATGCACCTAGAAATACTTTACATATTTCAGGGCATATACAGTGGTGTCCACTAGAGATGTCTGTAATGATGGAAATGTTCTATATTTGCCCTGTCCAATATGGTAGCCACTAGAGGCAATGGAACACTTGAAATGTGGCAAGTGTGACTGAGGAACTGAATTTCTCATTTATTTAATTTTAGTTAATTTAAATTTAAACTTCAGTAGCCACATGTGTCTAGTAGTTACCATACTGGGCACACAGAGAGCCCACAGACCAAGGGTTAAAACTGCTCTTGAATGCTTGTCTTCTTAAAGCTTTCCCTTTAAGACAGTTCCTTAGTTAGCTAACAGAGAGGTTCTCAACCCTGGTTGCTGTGGTGTGTCAAATAATGGCACTGAAGACATCAGGTCCTGATTCCTGGAACCTGTAAATTTTACCTTATTTGGAAAGATGCTTTGCAGATGTCATTAAATTAATGATCTTGAGATAGGGAGATGATTATTAATTATCCAGGTGGGCCCTAAAGGCCACCACCATGTATCTTTATAAGAAAGAGGCAGGGGGAGATTTGAAAATGCTGGTCTCGAAGACGGCAGTGATGTAGCCAGAAGCGAAGGTATGTCGCCGGCCATCACATGCTGGAAGAAAGGAATGAATCCTCCTCTAGAGCCTCCAGAGGGAGTACTGCCGCACCCTGCTGACACTTCGATTTAAGCTCAGTGAAACCAATTTTGGACTTCTGGCCTCCAGAACTGTGAAGGAATAAATTTCTGTTGTTTTAAGCCATCAAATTTGTGATAACTTATTACAGTACCATAGGAAACTAACACAGTTGCCCATTGGAATCACTTGGAATCTACAAGTGATATTATAATTATATATATGTATATATATATATATATTTTTTTTCCATTAAAAAAATTATGTCGGGGGTACAAGTAGAATTTTGCTACATTGATATATTGCATGTGGTGAAGTATATATATGTTTTCATTCACAGTTCCTGGCTCATGACTCCCATAACCCTTGTTACAGTCTTTTGTAATTATGTTGGGGTGCCTTAGGCCTCAGAAGCAGGCCTTAGGGAACAGGATCTTCTTGCTCTCTGACCTTGTCCTGTTCTCCTTTCACCTGCCGATGGTGTGACTCTGGTTGTGGGTCATAAGACCCTCATTCCAGAAGGAGTCCTGCCTGCCCCATACCCTGGGGAGAGGAATGCTGCACAGAGATGCAAGGAAGAATCTGAACAGACAGACCTTACTGGGTTGAGATCATACCCTTTTTGTCCAATCACATTTTGACACAATTGCCCATGCTTCAGGTATGGGTGACCAACAAAGTCTCCATGACAGGCCCAAAGGACAGGGTCTGGAGAGCTTCTCGATAGCTGACCACGTGGAGGTTCCTGGAGGGTGGCATGCCCAGGGAGGGCATGGAAGCTCTGTGCCTCTTCCCCCATACCTCGCCCTATGCATCTCTCCATCTGTATCCTTTGTAATATTCTTTATAACAAACTGGTACACATAAGTGTTTCCCTAAGTTCTGTGAGCTGCTGTAGCAAATTAATCAAACCTAAAGAGGGAGTCGTGGGTATCTCAACTTGAAGCCAGTTGGTCAGATGTTCCAGAGACCCAGACTTAGGACTGGTGTTGTGGGGCGGACAGTCTTGGGGACTGAGTCCTCACCCTGTGGCATCTGATACTACTGCCAGGTAGACAGTATCAGAATTGTATTATAGGATACCCCGGTGGTATCCACTGCCTGGAGTATGGGGGAAAACTCCCACACATTTGGTCACAGAAGTGACCACACAATTCTTCTGTGTCGATGATTGTTGTGGCATGGAATTTAGAAAGAAACACAGTTTGAGTTTTCCCAAAGTACTACAATATCTCATTTAACCTTCATCAAATGAGATGACTATTTTGATCTCTATTTTATAATGAGGAATCAGGGATTAGAGAATTTAGGAACCTAACCCACAGTTACCTTGTGGCAGAGTCAAGAATTGAACTGGGGTCTGTCTGTTGACTTCTGGACCACACTGATGTAATGAACAAGGGAGAGGAAAATGTCCAAGATGACTTCTAAGTCTTCTGCCTGGAACATGGAGCTCACAGTTGCACTATCAAAGCAAGAAATTTGGGGAGCATGGACAACTGATGGTGAAAGAGGGAAAAGATGAACTCAGTTTGGGATGCTTCCTTGGTTGTTTTCCCAACTTGGTACTTCATTCATATCCTCCACCAAGGGACACACCTGGTTCCTTCACCCAAACTCCCACATCTGTTCAGCATGCACCCACACTTGGACTCCTACACACACACCACATTCACCACTTGCTTGGAAACCATAGTTCCATTACAGGTAAATTTTCTTTTATTTCTACACTTAAATTTCTTGACTTCCTAACTCTTTATCCTTATAGAAACATGGTAGCTTGTCTCTAACACAACTGCTTCATGCACCTCTGGGCAAGGAAAAAAATAGGTATGTGCACAGACAGACACAGATCCACTCTGCCCCTTAATGCTTCTACCCAGGTGGAAAGCAAATGTGTTGGGTCGAAGGAATGTCATGGTGAAGGAGAGTAGAAGGTCGAGGAATGAATGTCTCTACAATGTTACTAAAGAGAGACTGTCCTCTTCACTGTGTTTAGAAGTGGCTTATGAAATTCATTCAGAGCTTAGTATACCAATATAGGGAAAACATTCAGATATTAGAGTATGTTTGATATTTATTTTCACATGACCTTACAAAATGTTCAGTTACATGCAGGGTTATTGATGACAGAATGTCACTCAGCTTCAAACTAGGTCTACCCAGAATTCCTCTTAAATGTCCACATAAGCCACCATCAAACCTGCTTATACTCAGTTATTTTTTTAAAACCTCCCTGAATGACATACTATCCACCCAATCATCTGTCAGTCTTCCATCTAAGCAAGCACCAGTCTCCCAAAGTCTCCTGAAACTGCCCCCATCCTCACCCCCTCTGCACTAGTTCAGGCCTGCTGGTCACTCTGCCCCGAGTTTTATCTCCCCTCAAATCCACCTTTCATGTTGTCATCAGAGGGCTCTATCTGAACTGCAGATGTGCTTGTGCCACTTATTCAAACACCTGCTTAAAACCTTAATTCACAGCCCTTTCCCTAGCATCCTGCCATCTTTTAATCCAACAAATCTAAACATCCCACACTGGTCCCTCAGTCTCCAATGCATCAACACTCAGCTTTGCCCAACAAATCTAATCCCAGTCTCTCCAGCCTTCTCCTCCACACTTCCCTTCCTTTGTGCTTTTATATGATCCTATGGACAGCTCCATCACAACATTTGCCACATCATCTGAAGAGTCAGATTATACACCATTCTCTTTAGTCTATTAGACCCTTATGGGCAAGAATCTGTATCTTACATTTGGATTCCCAGTGTTTACTGTGAAACTGGCATATAGTTGGTGCTCACTCTACTGGGACCTGTCCCTGCTAATTCTTTCCACTCTACCCCCCAAACATTAAAAAAATAAAAACAAACAAAAACTTGTTCTTGCTCTATCTACCTGACTGTGAAATGTTTCTAATCAAACTTTTAAATTTGTTCTTTTTTTTTTTTTTTAACTCTGGCCTCTGATATCTGGCTATTTGGTGGCCCATACCCTTGAATTCATCCCTGACCCAAATCCCACAGCTTTTCACAGTTCCTTCTCCTCCTGGCAGCTTTTGACTATTGTCCGTATTCTCCTCAAACCACCTTCTCTGACTTCACACCACCACCAAGCATTGCCTTTGTTTCAGATTCTTCACTGCCATGAGTCATTTAACCCTGTGGTCCACAACTGCTGGGCTGCAGAATGGTACTGGTCTGTAGCCTGTTAGGGACTGGGCCACAGAACTCTGCTGCTCCATTCCCTCCCATGCCCACTCCTCCACCCCCACCTCCACTGGTGGAAAAATTGTCTTCCATGAAACTTAGGAAATGGCCTCCTGGCACAGCAAGAGGTGAGCAGCAGGTAGGGAAGCTTCATCTGTATTTATAGCCGCTCCCCATTATTTAATGCCTGAGCTCCGCCTCTACCCATCCCTGTTGCCTAAAAGGTTGAGGACTGCTGAAACCTACCCATCATCACCATAAACACATTCCCTTATGCACTTTGGGGCTGTATTGCTATTTGTGTTGGCAGTTGCCTCAGCAGAAAATCTTATCCTGTGAAAGCCCCTTGTGTGAAGCAGGAATTTCTTCAATTTTAGTATCTTTGTACATTAATTAGGATGCAAGTTTCTCACTAATCACCTAGGTCATAGGCTGAGTAAATCAACCATTTCTGTCTCTACTTCAGACTCCAGTACTAACATACCTTTTTTTGGAGAGGGGGTATACCGAAAGGGTTTTTTTATTTTATTTATTTATTTTGAGACAGAGTCTCACTCCGTTGCCCAGGCTAGAGTGCCGTGGCGTCAGCCTAGCTCACAGCAACGTCAAACTCTTGGGCTCAAGTGATCCTCCTGCCTCAGCCTCCCAAGTAGCTGGGACTACAGGCATGCGCCACCATGCCCGGCTAATTCTTTATATATATATTTAGTTGTCCAGCTAATTTCTTTCTATTTTTAGTAGAGATGGGGTCTCACTCTTGCTCAGGCTGGTCTCGAACTCCTGAGCTCAAATAGTCTACCTGCCTCGGCCTCCCAGAGTGCTAGGATTACAGGCGTGAGCCACCGCGCCTGGCCAGAGAAAGGGTTTTTAAAAATTGCTGTTTAGCAATTAGCAAGTGGTTTTCAAGCATCTCTGTACTCACCCTGCCTCATTCTCCACTTCCCTCTACAAGTATAGTACGTTTTCCAGGAGTCCTTAGTGTAAGTGGGTAAAGGAGGAAGCCACTCTGTGAGGCTGTGGTACATTTATTTTTCAATTTCAATTAAAGATTATCTGAGAAAATATCCAAGGAAAAGTAACTGCAGGACCAGCCCAAACTGCCCCTACTGTGTAGATAACAGAATGTCAAGTTATCTTAGGTATAAGAGAGCCAAAACTGCAAGTCATATATTCTAGACATGGCACAACAGAAAAAGCTTTGACCTCTAACGACATCCAGAACCAACATTTCCTCTTCGCAGAACCAAGAAGATGAGGGATATGACAGGAAGCCAAATGCTGGAAACATCCCAATAGCAAGGGGTCTGTTGGCTGGGAAAATACAGTGCGCAAATCCACCTCAACAAACCTTTCAGTAAGTGATCAAATTCAAAGCCCTCCAATCAGACCCTGCCAAGCCAACATTCCAAATACTTTCCCTTGTCCCCCCACCCCTTAAAACTTGCCCCAGAGCCCAAATAGGGGAGCTATATTTGAGCCACACCTCCTGTCTCCTTGCTAGTTGGCCTCACAACAAAGCCTTTCTTTTCTCAAAAGCAGGTGCCATAATATTGGCCTCTGTGTGCATCAGTGAGCCCACTGCAGAGTAACAGAAATATATACCTAACTATTAGCGACAAAATATATGTATGGGCGGGTTCTTATCTTAAGGACCATTATGTCCTCCTGTGAAAACATGGGGGTTGCAGGTACCAAACCTGTCCCTTAAAAACGTCAATAATTGGAGTATAACCACCCTGGAAGGGAAGCTTAACATGACTAGCTCCTTTGGGCTTCAGACGTCCCTGCAGTAAGATCCTTTAGGTTAAAGGCTTCTGCTGAGCTCTGCACTGGGCTAGAAGATAGGTGACAACCATGCAAACTCCCGGGGAGATAAGAAAGGTATACAAAAAAGTAACAAGGCTATGTTAACGATTATTAGGAACATCCTGACCTTAGGCCTCCAAAGTTAACTGATCAAGAGCAAAGAAGTTTCACAACCTCCTCAGGCCCTGGCTGATGCCCAGATGTCTGCAGTTCTAGGCTACCTCTCACAATCCAAATTCCACCCCCTTCCCCTTCCCTTAAGAGAAAAATGAGCCTAAAGTTCACACTAACTTAAGGTGCTTCTTTGGGACAGTAGTCTGCCTGGTCTCAGTTTGCCATTCGGAATAAAAGTTGCTTTCCTTCGCCCCACACCTTGCCTCTGGACTCATTGTCTTGAGGGCGAGTGGTAGGAGCTTTAACTCGGTTACAATGGGATTAGGTGAAAGTGGTGTTCAGCCATGGAACCACAATAGGCTCCCCCGTCTGTGACCTTTGGTAAGTCATGGGACCTTTGGATTTATTTTCTGTAAAATGGGAACGACCTGAGTCACCGAAAGAGTAAATGAAATAACGTAGTACTTTGAGAAGTACCAAAGCCAGCTCGCCCAGCGGGACGCGGAGGAGAGCAGCACGGGGCCATCCCCAGCGCCTGGGCTCCCTCTGCCCGCAGCAAGACTCGTCCCCATGGCAACCGCTCCCGCGTTCCCGGCCCGCCGCTACCCAGCCGCCAAGACCGGAAGCAGTTGCAAGGGGGCGCGTCCCGCGTTTCTCCTCGGCAGCCCTGGGTCCGTCCTTTCCCAGTCCAGAGGTGAGAGCCGAGGACTCGTCAGGCCCCCTAGGCCTCGGGCATGACTGGTCGTCACCCGGCGGGGGGTTGGGAGGCGTGGACCTCGGCGCCAGCCACGCAGCCCCTCTCCACACCCCTCCCCGTGTCCCCATCCCGCTGCCCAGTCCCCATCCCGCTGCCCAGTCCTCTTGCCCCTGCCTAGCTCGGGACCTGCCGGCCGCCCACGGCCCTCCGCGCACCGCTTCCCCTTGGCCTTGCCCTTCCCTCGCGCCCCCACGGTGCTTGCCAGTCCAGCGAGCACACGCGCGCCCACGCGCCACCCGCCGGCGCGCCGAGGCCGTTCCCGTTTGGGAAGGGACGCCCCGCCGTGGGCCAGAGAGAGGGCCGTGGGCCAGAGAGAGGGCCGGGCGCTCGCGGGGCGACGGGGGAGGGCGGGTGCGGTGAGCGGCGGACTGCAGGCCCACTAACGGAGCGGTTTAGTAGAGAGGGTCGTTCCTCTCCCGAAAGACCCCTCGATCCGATCGGGTGCTTGGGGCAAAGCCACCCCTCCAGAGACCCTGTTGGCTATAGGCCATCGTGCGCTCTTGGGGGTTTGGTTCCCTCATCTCAGTTTAGAACTGAGAGCAACTTCGGAGAGGGCACAGATTCTGCTCCTGGTGCTGAAGCGGTGGTGCCTTCAGGCAGCAACTCTGTCCTGCTTTAGCCTTAGGTCCCTCACATATCCCTTAGGGTCCCAGACTGCTCCAAACTCAACCTCAACCCTTCCTGCCTCTCAGGTCTCATACTCCAGACTGTGTTCCCGTCCAGCTTCATCAGGGTGTGCTGCTCCCGGCCACCGCTTCCTCCTCTGTGCTGGGACTCTGTGCAGGGGCCAGTCTTGCCTCCGGCCTCTTGACCACACAGCACTGTGGATAAATGTGGACAGTCTGGATTCAGACCCCAGCCCTGCCCCTTTGTCCTTGGCCAGGGTGCCTGGCTTTGCTGTGACAGGTTCCTCACCTACAACATGGGGATAAAAATAACTTAGGGCTTTTATGAAGATTTTAGTGACTTTATATTTATTAAGATGTTTAGAACAGTGTTTGGCATATAGTAAATTCTGTATGTGTCTGCTATTATTTGCATCATAGTTCTTCACTGTATAAAGTTGTATCATTTATAATTTAACATAAGATTTATGAAGCCACAGGCTTGATTCAAGTCACTGCTGTATCTACAATGCCTACAACAGTGCTTGGTGAAGTGAGAAAATAAAATCAAATGCAGGTTACATAACAAGGAAAAAAAAGATTTTTAACTTAGTTATCATTTGCTGAACTTGTACAGCCACTATCATACTGCCCAATTTTAAAAATGTGATTAGTTATGGATGATACATATACTAAAATGGTACTAAGAAAGTGTCTTCCCCACCCCGTTACTGCTAATAATACTTGGAGAAATCGTTGCCCTTACAAATCACCATGTTGGTGGTGGTATTGTGAATTGATACAGTCTCTTTTGCAATTTATTTGCCAATACAATACAAGACAGAATTTGTCACTTTCCTTTGACCCTCAATAAGCAGAGGCCTTGGAACATGCTTGAAGGAAATAATTTGAAAGGGAAAAAAATAGTATATTCATGAAGATGTGCCTCCCAACATTATTTGTAATAGTGAAAATTAGAAGCCACCTAAATATTCTATAATAAAGAGATAGTTAAATAAATAATATAGATGTTATGGATGGAAAGTAGAAGCAATTATGAAAAATAGGAATACATTGAGATGGATGAATATGTGATTGCTTTTTTCTTTTGAATGGTTCCTTTAATGTCAAAATAATGTTTTAACAATTAGTAAACGTTGAAAAAAATCCTCACAGAAGTACTGTCATGAGATTATTTCTTTGATCTCTTTGCAGCAGACTAGATAAAACTAATTGGCTCTTTGAACCTGCTTCTGAGTCACAGCTGTTTAAAAATCAGGCTTCCCTTATTTTCATTCTCCGAGAGCTCCTATGCAATCCTGGCTGATCTCTTATTGTAATATTTAGTAGCCTCATGGGCATGGTTTTCAGAATAAATTGGGAATTACTCATGCATATGAATTAAGGAGTCTTAGCTCTTTGGTTCTCTTAAAGAAAGAGGTATTCTTTGAAAGCATGGTTTATATTTATATTAAGGTCATTATTTCCTGTACTGTCCTGTGTTTCTAATCTTAGTTGTTTTGTTCTCAGAAGCATGTGTTCTTTGTCTTGTTTCCACTTGTTTCTTTAATCATATTTAAGGAGTGTTCATAAGGAGAGCTCCACCTCTTTGAGGATTTAAGCCTAGCAGTACTGGGCTATTGCCAGTCAAAATGTCTGCAAAATTGAGAGAGTCATCAACGCTTCTAACACAAACTTCAGAGGAGCCTGATGGGATTCTGATAGTGAAGATGGAAGAGGAAGAACAGGCCTGTGATCTGGACTCTAGCCTCCACTGGAGCAGCTGCTACAACCCAGAGACATTCCGGCAGCAGTTCAGGCCGTTTGGCTACCAGGATTCACCTGGGCTTCAAGAGCCTCTGAGCTGGCTCAGGGAACTTTGTCATCTCTGGCTAAGGCCAGAGGTTCACACCAAGGAGCAGATTCTAGGGCTACTGGTGCTGGAGCAGTTCCTGGTCCTCCTTCTAGAAGCGCTGTAGGCCCGGGTGCAGAAGCATCATCCAAAGAGTGGAGAGGAAGCTGTGACTGTCTGGAGGACGCGGAGAGAGAGCTGGATGGGCCTGAACAGGTAAGAAGGCTGCCTGTGGGGATGAATGACCAGGCTGAGCAGGAGCATGTGCACATCACTGGGGATGAGCTATCAAACTGTATTCCCACTCAGCACAACTGGATGTGTATGCTAGCGAATACACTCATGGGTGTCCCAGAAAATGGAAAGTGGTTCTACGTTTTTCTTCCCTTTTCCTGTGTCCAGGATGTATTCTATATAGTTTTTTCTCTGTTATTTTGTCTTCAACTCTCAACTGGATTCCTGTCTTCAGCCTCAATTATACCTAACTATTTCAGGTCTTCTTTTTTGAACAAAGAAAGGATGTGATTGCAGAGAAGCTTGCAGCTTGGGAAATGACCGAGGAGTTGCCAAGTAGCCAGCCTAAGCCTGTGAAGAAGCAGCTGCAGTGGGCATCAGGGGAATTGCACTCCTTAAGACCAACCGGTGAGGAGGCAGGATTCAGTTCATGGTGGGAGGTGAAGGGGGCCTTACCCCACTGCACACATCTAGGCCATCTTATGCAAGAGGCCTCAAATCTCCCTTTTCATCTCCTCCTCACTGTGGGAACTTCCACTGTTACTTCTCTTACCAAATCAACATGCTCAGTATTTTGCTCTTGTTTCTTTTTCATAGATTCTTATAAAATCTTCAGATTTTAAATCTTTGACATCATCTCCATCAGGGTTTCCAAACCTTTTTAAAACTAGCACGACCCTTTTCTCAAATGAAATTTTACATGGAGTTCCAGTATATAAAACAGATGGAAATGCAGCTTCTGTGTCTGAAGCAGGAGGAAGCAGTCCCAGCCCACAAGGTCTCCCACTTAGCCTCGTCCCCACCTCCTTTACCTTTGAGCATCCCCTGAGGCCCTTCAGTGGGAATCGAAGGTACAGAGTCTAGAAACCACTGATCCGCATCATCATTTCTTGTATAGCTGTTTGCTCAGTTACTGGTGGGATCTAGTAGTGAAGTTGTCCACATTGCTTCTAAGATGACTGCTCCCTCACAGTGCTTTGAATACATCTCTCTCCTCCCTCACATCTCAACCAGCCTCTGTTGCTCTTTGCATCGCTTTCTACAAAAGTGCTACAAAATGGCTGGCAGAGCAATCTGGTCTCACATTGTAGATACTAAAAAATAAGTGCTATGGGGAAAAAAACAAAGCAGAATAAAGGGGATAGATGGGATGGCGATAGGGTCTTATATATAAAAAGAGTGGTAGAAGTGATGAAGTGACATTTGAGCAGAGACCCTCCTAGATGATCATTCTACATAAAATGGGAGCCAGAGATTAAGAGGCAAATCCCACGCAGGAGGATCTCTTCCTCTCCCCACCAACATTGCTTTTTTATTCCAGGGGTAGCTGATATTTAAGCAAGGTTAAAGTTTTCCCAAGGGAATTTTGGTAAAAGGGAGGTTGAGGAAAGATTGGTCACCCTTACTTGGCAAGTACCAAGTAAGAGTAAGCTCCCAAAGGGCTTGTACTGGGCACGTAAACACCTCCAGTCTAGATATTGTCTTGGCTTACCTAGAAGAAGAGTAAAAGCCTTTTCACACTCTGTCAGGAGAGGAAGGGAAACCATCCCAGCCTCAGCAGTTGTCACGGTGGTGACTACAGAAGTGATCAGCCTCAAAGCCAGGTCCTGAGTTCCTAGTGTTGGCAAGAACCACATTCTACCTGTGAATGTCCTCACGGAGCCTTTCCTACATTTTTTTAAAGACACAGAAATCTGAAACAGAAAGCAAAGGGCCCAGAATCTTATATTACAAGGCAGAGAGAATCAGAATCATGTGATAGAATAATAGAACTATTTGTTAAGACTCCATCGTGATTTCTGTGATACCAAGTTGTGTCTTATCAAAGCTTCTGAAAATGACTTTGGTCTCTGCTTTGAAGCACTAACTGTGGCCAGAATTTTGATTGTAATGACTGACCATCAAGGTCACTTTGGAATATGAGCTATCAAAAATGAATTTGAGACAAAATCCTTACCATTTGTAAAGTGATTTCTGTTTAAACCAGTAATAATAAATAAATGAATATGCCATATACTATGCTTTGAATATTTGTCCCCTCTGAAACTCACGTTGAAACTTAATCCTCAATGTGGCAGTATTGAGAGGTGAGACTTTTAAGAGGTGATCAGGTCATGAGGGCTCTGCCCTTGTGAATGGATTAGTTCATTCATGGATTAATGGGCTAATGGATTAATCAGTTATTATGGGAATGAAATGTATGGGCTTTATAAGAAGAGGAAGAAAGACCTGAGCTAGCATGTTAGCAAGCTCAGCCCTCTCACTGTGAAATGCCCCGTGTTGCCTTGGGACTATTCAGAGAGTTCCCAGTATCAAGAAGGGTCTCACCAGATATAGCCCCTCAACCTTGGACTTCTCAAGCTCCATAACTGTGAGAAATAAATTTCTTCTTTTATAAATTATTCAGTTTCAGGTATTATAAGCAACATAAAATGGACTGAGATACCATATTTATGACTGAATACAAGAAATATGTGCACCAGGGGGCCACATGTCATCAGCCCTGCTCTGTGTTCCTTATAGTCTCATTTATGTAATTACTTCAGGTAAAAGTTCCCTCCAGCAGTCACTGTCAGCCCCAGCCAAACCATATCCTCAGTCATGTTCAGAACTGCTGTACTGTGCTTTTACAGACTCATTTTAAACTGCGATCTTTCAGTAGCTTCAATGAAAATGCCACCATGAGGATTACTGGACTCATTCCTTCAGTTAATGGATCCAAATTAAACTGGCATATTCACATCTGAGTTAGCAGTTCTGCTGGAGCTTCAGGCACCCTGAATTGGAAGGCTCTCTGCGTTGAGCCAGAGTTGTGTGCATCTGAGTGGCTGCAGCCCATAAGCAGCCATGGACATTTTTCATAGACATTAAATGTAATACAAAATAAGACAACAAACTTAGCCACTCAACCAGTACTATAAAATTCATATAGGGGTATAGGTTTTTCATTGATGGGTATTCTGTGCTACCCTTGATCTTTTGAGGTACCAGTTATCCTGATCTATATTCCTTCCTTTTTTTGCCTAAACTTGTGTTTTCTGACTTTGGTTTCTATATTCCTTTTTGAACTCTTCAGATCATTTCATTGTTCAATTATTCATTCATTCATCATTATTAAGTTTTTGTTTTGTTGATACTCTGGTGCTAAATCTTATTTATTACTACCACTGCCACATTTGATTCTTCTCCTTCCTATGGTCTACTTCTCCAGTGATTCCTTATCTTTTAGGCTCTTTCTTCCAGACTTTTTTCAGTGTCTGACATATCTTTTTATGCCTACTTACTATCCTATCTTTTCCACGGAGCTTTGCAGCATTAGAGTTGACTGCCTCCTCGGTATGTAATCCTTTCTGTTTGCCTTATGATCTCTGCCTTCCACATTGTGATGTCGTTTTACAAACATGCTAGCTAATAATTAATCCATATATATGTGATTTGGAATATTCTATTTCTCTTTCTTTCTGAGCAGAGAACTGATAACATTTGCTTTTCTGTTTATTATTTCAGAAAAAGACACCAAAAATATAAATATAAAATCAGCTTCAAGGCAAAAGACTTCTTTAGGCATAGAACTGCATTATGATGTCGCTAGCACCCTTCATATAAATGCCTCCCAGAGTTCTACACATGGAGGAACCTGTGAACCAGATGGCAGGTTTGAAAGAAGAAAGAAACAACACGTGTGATGAATGTGGAAGAATCTTTAGTCAGAGCTCAGCCCTTATTTTACATTGGAGAATCCATAGTGGAGAGAGACCTTATGCATGTGATGAGTGTGCAAAGGCCTTCAGCCAAAGTGCAATTCTGATTCAGCATCGAAGAATCCACACGGGGGAAAAACCCTACAAGTGTCATGAATGTGGCAAAGCCTTTAGTCAGAGCTCGAATCTTTTTAAACATAGGAAAAGACACATTAGTGAAAAAGTCCCATCAGTATCATGAGGGAATCAAAGCATTTACATACAGTTTTCTTAGCATGAAAGAAGAGAGAAGGGGAAAACACTTCTTTAGTATAAATCTGTGGTTTTAGTGGTCACTAGTCTCCTTTCAAGAGTCATAAAAGCCACAGAAGAGAATGTAGAATATCTCATGTCACATTATTTTCTTTTCTGTTTATAAATGCAATGCCATTCAGATGTTTGAGGTTCCAAAGTTTAATTCAGATTTCTATTCCTAAGCAGCCCTTGAAAAGACATTCTCAGACATGTTCTATTTCCAATATTAATACAAATAATGAACTAGTATATTTCGTTTTAGATAAGTATTTTTTTCCCTGTTAAGAAGGAATATGTGAGTTACTCAGTGTAAAAATAAATATTTTCCATTTTATAACTTGAGCACTAGTATTCTAACAGCCAAAGATTAAGGAATTAAAAAAAAAAATTCCTGGCCAGGTGTTACGGTTCATTTCTGTAATCCTAGCACTCTGGGAGGCCAATGAGGGAGGATTGCTTGAGTCCAGGAGTTCGACACCAGCCTGAGCAAGAGTGAGACTAGGTCTCTATTAAAAATAGAAAAAATTAGCTGGGTGTGGTGGCACATGCCTGTAGGCCCACCTACTCAGGAGGCTGAGGCAGGAGGATCCCTTGAGCTCAGGAGTTGGAGGTTGCTATGATGATCCACGGCACTCTAACCTGGGCAACAGAGGAAGACTCTGTCTCAAAAAAAAAAAAAAAGAAAGAAAAAGTAGTAGACATTTTCTTCTTTTTATGCAAATGATTAATAAGTACATGAAAAGATGCTCAATATTGCTAATCATTAGGGAAATGCAAATCAAAACCACAATGAGATACCACTTCCCACCCATTAGGATGGCTATTATAAACAGCAGCAGCAACAACAACAACAACAAAATAACAGGTGTTGGAAAGGATGTGAAGAAATTGGAACCCTTGTGCATTGCTCCTGGGAATATAAAATGGTATAGCTGCTGTGGAAAACATTTTTGTGGGTCCTCAAAAAGTTAACCTTAAAATTACCATATAATCCAGCAATTCACTCCTAGATACATACCCAAAATAATTCTGAGCAAAGATTCAAACAGATATCTTCATACCAATACTCATAGCAGCATTGTTCGCCATAGCCAAAAGGTGGAAACAACCCAAATGCCCATCTACAGATGAATGGATAAACATGGCATACACATACAATGGAATATTATTCAGCATAAAAAGAAATGAAATTCTGATAACATGCCACAATGAGGATATACCTTAAAAACATGCTAAGTGAAATAAGCCAGACAAAAAAAAGGACAAATATCATATGATTCCACTTATATGAGGTACGCAGAATTGGCAAGTTTATAGAGACATAGAATAGTAGTTACTGGGCCAGGAGGAATGGGGAATGGAAGTTATTGTTTAATGGATACAGGGTGTCTGTTTAAGATAATGAAAAAGTTCTGGAAGCATGTAGTGGTGACATTTGATCCACATTGTCAATGTTCTTAATACCACTGAATTGTACACTTAAACATGCTTAAAACAGTCAATTTTATGTTAAACATATTTTACAATGAAAAATAAAAGCATTGGAAGAAACAAAAATGAAATTACTTTTATATAGTTCCTGACCTAATAAAGCTTATGATTCTAGCAAAGAAAAAAGAAGGATTAAAGAAAAGCCTCAAAGACAGAGGATCTGGAAGATAAAATCCAGACACTGCACTTAGTGAAAGGACTGACTGAATGTAAGTCCAAACAATGTTCTCTTTGCCACTACATTGAGGACAGGTGATGAGAATACCTAAGGAGCTCTGGAGGAGGATTCAAATAGACTGCATAGGCTATGAATCTCAGATGGCTGGTAAATAATATTAAAATTAGTTGTAATTTCCATGTTGGACTCAAAGTATTTTCTTAGATAAAGCTATATGTTAAATTAATGACTTTATTTCTGAAATTTTACCCAATGGATATACCTTATTTTCAGAGTGTCTTAAGCTTAGCTGGGTTCAAATTTAACTGAACTTAACTGGCTTGTCTTCAACTGAAGGGTGATTTTTATTCAAAGGCTATATAACATTGAGAAACAGCTTACATAAGGTTTACAACTCTTGTTGTGTCAGAGCTAATAATCAGCCACAGAGACATTTACAATTTTTTCCTATATAGCTTTGCTGGCTCCTGTCTATCCATTGCAGAAGGAGTTGTCAGGATTCCAGGTGGAATGTCCCCAGCTGGATATGTTAGTGGGCTGCATCAGAACTGGAAGAGCCCATTAAACTTTGCTTTTTATTGATTGGCTATTAGCAATCTTGTCACCTAGGTGGTTTTACAGTTTGAATTCTCAATATTTATCCCACTCAAATGATTAGTCTAAGCCAATCATACTAATACTATTCCACCTGCAAGTGCTTTTGATTTAGGAATGGGTATATCACCCAATCCAGGCCAGTGAGACATGAAGGGAAGCCTACTACATGGCTTCTGGGAAAAGTTTGCTTTCTTCTAAAAACAAAGACATACAGGTTATATGTATCCCCAGATGTTCCTGTGACTGGTTATGATGCCAAGAAATGCTGTATCAGCTGACAGGTAATGCTGAAACACATGGAGGGAGGAAGTATGAAAACTGCAGGCAAGCAGGACTGAAGCCTTGATGTACCATTCTTTTAAATAACTATGTTAGAAGAGAAGAAAGGTCTAAAATAAATTGTGTACTTATCTACCTTAAGAAACTAGGGGGGAAAGAACAAAAGAGCAGTTTAAAACCAAAGTAAGTAGAATGGAGAAAAATGAAAAGAACAGGCTTTGGCTTCAGGGAGGATAGGTTAAGCACCTTCTACCCAGTCTCTCCCACTGAAGGCAGCTATAAAGCTGAGCAAAACGCATGGAGCAGCTCTCTGAGAGGTCTTCAAAGTAAATGATGGCAAGCACATCAGGAGAGGAGAACAGAATTTGAAGTTCCACTAAACTAGCATTGAATTTACCCTTTAATCTACTTGTTATCTACTTTAACCGTTGTTACTTACTGGTCTAGACTCAAAGGCAGCCTTGAAACCCAGAAGTGCAGGTGGAGAGTAAATAGACAAGTGTTCTGTTTCTGGCCCAAGGAGTGGGAAAAGGGGCTCTAAGGATGGGGAAGAATGGGGGAAATCCCATGTACAGTATTTTCCCCTTCATTTCCCTTTAAACCCAGCCGTAAGACAATACTACAGCAGTGGTCATGGCAGCAAGGGCAGTAGTAGAGGAACACTTTGTTCTGAATAGAGTTGTTTTGGTGCCAGAAGCCTGGGGCAAATCGCCATTGCTTGTATTACATTATCTCTGTGTCCTCTTGCTACTCGAACCAGGCAGAAAGCAGGCGAGAGAAGTCAACAGTAGAGTCAGGAAACTAAAACCTCAGCTTTCTGGCTGAAAGACTGGTAGGGAAGGCCCCAGGGAGCCAGAAAGAAGATGGAGATCAAGTGTGATCTAAAGTTGTGTGAACTCCTCGACTGACCTTTAAACTGCGCATGCGTGAATTTGATCCTCCACACTTGCTTGCAGGCATAGAGAATTGAGCTACGGGGTAGACAGACTACCAGCTAGGCTCCAGACTGGCCACTGGGTGGCACACACAAAGGATGAACCAAATTGCACTGGAAATGTTTGAAAACTGACTGACAGGGGAACTGTAGCCTGCACAATCAGATCAGAACTTGTGGCCTGACTCTAACTAGGGCAGTTGCCTGTTGAAACAAACAAAAACATCAACATTCTCCTTAGGATTTAAGTAACACCCAGAATCTGATAACATATAGAGAATGTGCAGGCTACAGTGCAAAATTACTAGGCATAGGAAGAACCAGGAATATCTCAATTTGCAAGAGAAAAGAAAACCAAATGATGGCAATGCCTGGATGATACAGAGGTTAGAATTAACAGAAAAAGACTTTAAAGCAGGTTTTATAACAATATTTAGGAAGTAAGGGTGAATGAATGGAGAGACAGACACCAGGAAGGAAATTGAAGATATAAAGAAGAAACAAATGGGAATTTTTGAACTGAAAAATACAATAATCAAAGTGAAATATTCATTGGGTGGGCTCAATGGAAGAATGAAGATGACAGAGGAAATAGTAAGTGATAGATCAATAGAAATTATCCAATCTAAATAACACGGAGAATAAAAGATTGAAAAGCAAAAAAGAACAGATAGGAAAAGAAAACTATAATCCAAGGCTGGATGCCGTGGCTTACACCTGTATTCCTAGCACTTTGAGAGGCTGAGGTGCGAGGATTGCTTGAGGTCAGGAGTTGAGACCAGACCCCATCTCTCCAAAAAATAAATTAGCAGGGAATGGTGGTACCCATAGTCTCAGCTGCTGGGGAGGCTGAGGCAGGAGGATTGGTGGAGCTCAGGAGTTTGAGGTTGTAGTGAGCTATGACAATACCACTGCACTCTAGCCCAAGCAACAGAGGAGCCCCTGTTTTACAAAAAGCAAGAAAAGAAAAAAGCAAGAAGAGGAAAGAAAGAAAAAGCAAGAAAGAGAAGGAAAGAAACTATAATCCAACTATAATCCAATATCCTTCATGAACATAGGCACAAAAATCCTCAACAAAATATTAGCAAATTTAATCTGGGAATGTATAAAAAGATTAAAACATCAGAACTAAGTGGGATTTATCCCAGAACTACAAGGTTGACTCAGTATTCAAAAATCAATCAAGGTAACTACCATATTAACAGTGTCCAGAGGGAAAATCATGTGGTCATATTAACTAATGCAGGAAAAGTATTTGGCAAAATTCAACATCCATTTATGATAAGAATAGAAGAAAACTTCTTCAAACTGGTAAAAGACATCTACTAAAATCCTAGAGTTAATATCATAATTATAAAAGACTGAATAATACTTTTCCCCTGAATACTGAGAACAAAGAAAAAAAGGTTCACTCTTCACTCTTATTTGGCATTGTATTGGAAGTCATAGCCAGTGCAGTAAGACAAGAAGAAAAAGATATAAAAGTTATATGGATTGTTTATTTAAAAAATAAACTTTTTCTCAGGTGAGAAATTATTTGGCAAGAAAATAAAAGATAAAAAATAAGCTTTTCCAATTTGCAGATGACATGTTTATCTACCTATAAACTCCATTGAATCTATGAAAAAGCTCCTAGTGGTAATATTATATAATGGAGCTTAGCAAGGTTGCAGAATACAAAGTTGTCTTAGTTACTTTCGGCTGCTATAACAAAAACACCATAGACTGGGTGGCTTAAACAACAGAAATTTATGATTCAGAGTTCTGAAGGCTGGGAAGTTCAAGATCAAAGTGCCAGAAGATTTCCTTCCTGGTGGGGGCCCTCCTCCTGGCTTGCAGATGGACATTCCCTTGCTATATCCTCACATGGCAAAAAGAGAGACCATCTTTTTTATGTCTCTTCTCATACAGGCACTAATCCCATTCGTGAGGGCTCTGTTCTTATGACCAAATTACCTCCTA